AGAGTTTGAGAATCATTTCCTCAAAATACCTAGTTCATGTCTATAAAGCCTGTTGGGTTTAATCCTAAATGTGATAGGACTTTTCCATAGACACCTAATCTTATACAAACTGCATAATCCTGCAACCTCTTGTTTATGTGGGTCACAGTCCCAAATAATCAGTAGGTCTAAATGAGTAAGCGTTTGCATAACTGAGACCACAGTAAGTCAGTGGCAGTGCAGGAAATGAAACTCAAGAGTTCTTAAAGAAAAGCCACTGCTTGAACCACTATATAAAATCCCCCTGCATGACATTTATTTATTTTATGTGACTACCAATAGAATGTTAAAAAAGGCTTACAGATGCACTTGATTGTATGTTTTATGGGACAACATCAGTCTAGCAACTGAAGTAACTGAGATGTGGCTAAATCAGGAAACTGACCAGGAATTTAAGCCGGAGAATACATATTGTTTATGGGAAAGAGAGACTTTGCAAGGAAGAAAAGATGTGGCAATTCTTGGGGGTGGAAAGACATCATAATGTCTGTGTAACGGACAGTTTGTGCAATCTGTCTAGGGAGGTAGAAACCATCTGAGTTAAGAAGTAAAATACACTAGATAACCAAAACAATCCCAGGAGAGTATTATGAACTGGCTCCAGAGGGAGGCACAAATGGGTATTACAACATGTTTCTGTAAACATGAGAGAACTGTGAAAAGCTAAAACACAGATCATAAAAGGGTTTGATACATGACTGTCCTCTCTCACTGAGGGATGGCAAACACTTGGGACATAATCCAAACCCAGCTGAATTACTTTTTTAAAACATGCACAAGCTCTGCAAAACATGTTAGTAATCATTGGGATGGTATATTTGTTTCCCCACTGACAATTGCTTAGCATGAAGTGAACTATTTTTTTTAATTTGTATTTGTTTGTGGTTACTAAAAATATGTATATTGCCAGCCAGAATGATTTGTTTAGATTGAATAGCCAGCCAGGGTAAGATTACGAAAGGGGCTTTATTCCTGCAGCCCTGGACACCAGGCTAAGGGTCCTGGGATGCAGCCACTACAGTACAGCGTGTATGTGTTGAAGCACTGCCTGGAATGGGGAGGATGGGGAGAAGCAGCTCTGTGTGCTGCAGTTTCCTCTTCCAGCCTCCCTCAGGCTGGAACTGTGTCACTAATGGTGCTCAACAGCAAGCTCCACCCCCACTACTCCCATTGGCCAGGAATTGAGGCCAATGGGAGCAGCTGGGGGCAATGCCCACAAGTGCAGGGCTGTTCAGAGCCTGCTGTTCCCCCTCCAGAAACGGTGCCAGGTAAGCATCCCAATCCCCTGCACCTTTCCGCACCCTCCTTCCCTCCCAGACCCTGCACCCCCAGCACACTCCTGAGTTCACCTCCCACTCCCAGCCAGTTCTAGCACCTACATCCTGTCCAGACACTGCACCCACATCCTAGTTTGCTCCTGCACCCTAATTCCCACTCAGACCCTGTGTTCCCACCCTGCTCCCAGGCAGCCCCCTCTTGCACACTGAACCCCTCATTTTTGGCCCACCAAGAGCCATGGGGCAACCACAAAATATACTAGCCCTGGGCCCCCCAAAAAGTTAATCTGGCCCTGTACACAGCCCAGTTGACTGGCTAATCATGCTGTCAACTTGCATGATTTTATTGTGAGTTTCACAACTTGTGTTGTTATTCTTAAAGCCCCACCTCCTGGAGTCAAGTAATTTCATGAGACTCTCAGGCAAAAATAAAAATAAAAAATCTTTTCATCTTGAACATATGAGCAGATTATATGGCAAATCTGAACAAAATTTTAAAAGTGTATGCCTAAAATGACACATAATATAGGACAAGTATGAGCCTGAGATGATTGTTATGGTGGAAATATAAATACTTGGGAGGAAAAAAATGAGGGGTTTTATTGGAAATGTTAATGGGATGGTAAATATGGGCCAGATTTTCAGTGGGGGATAAATCCAGTGAAGGCAACAAGTTACATCAGTTTACACAAGCTTAGGATCAGTCCCAATGGTTATTTTTTATTGAAATATTTACATAGCACAAATAAAAAGTAACTTAAGATGTGGTTTTTGTGGCATCAGAAGGATGTGAGACAAATCTGACATCTTCATACAGTTCCAAGTTATAAAAATATATTTTGCTGACCTTACTGTTAGGGGACTTTGAACCGAGATTTTTATTCTGAATTCTCCCCTCACAAAATAAAACAATTTCACATGTCTCTTTATAGTCTCTAAGTTCATTGGAGCTTGTTCTGTGTAATGTTGGCACTACTGGAGCTGTTAAAACCATTGTGTAATGGAGTGAGATCACAGAATATCTTAGTTCATGCTGCCTGCACTATCTTGCCTGGCTGATGGTTAATCACAGTTAAAACATTAAGGAACAAATCACGTAGGATTAGAGGATTGATTTGTACAGTGGTAGAAAATTGAGGCATTCAGCTAATCTTTAAAAATAAAATACTAAATTCATCTTCAGTGAACATCAGTGCAGCTTTATTGCCTTCACCATGGCACCATTTGGCCCAACAGTTTGTAGAGAAATCAGGTTTTTGTTGTATATATTTGCTAATTATTTAGGCATGTAATGAACAAGACAATGGCAGTGTAAAGATTTCAAATGCAGTATTTGGACTTTGAATGTTAAATGGAAGATTTCACCATATTCTTGGGCTCTGACCTTTTATCTTGAGCATGATGACTGCCAGATTAAAGAATCTCAGACAACCAGTAACAATCATCCATGGTGGAATTTTCCTTTCAAGTGGCTAGCTGACCTTTTTTTTAATCTCATATTAAAAGGCTATCAGCATGCAAGTCATGAACAGCAAACAGCTTAGGTCCTTGTTTTGTGCACTCAAGAAAGCATGTGTAGAAGTCAGTGGGTTGTCCCAGTCCATTTATTTACATAGAGGCTCAGGAATGCAATATGGAAATGAATAGAGCATATTTTTCTATCCTTCTTCTAGGCCCAGGGTATTATGTGCTTTGTACTGGGTATAGACAGGGATACAACTTTTATGGTTCATTTGTTTTTTTAACCACTGTGAAAAACTCGAGACCCACATGTGCAACAGACGTGATTTATCAGGAGCTGAATGCATTTAGCTTGGTAAAGTGACAACTAATGGGTTATGATAACAGTTTACAAACAGTTTACAACCTATGGAACTCCTTGCCAGAGGATGTTGCGAAGGCCAGGACTTTAACAGGGCTCAAAAAAGAACTAGATAAATTCATGTCCATCAATGTCAGGATGGGTAGGAACGGTGCCCATAGCCTCTGTCAAAAGTTGGGAATGTGTGACAGTGGAGGGATCACTTGAAGATTACCTGTTCTGTTCATTCCTTTTGGAGCACCTGGCATAGGTCACTGTTGGAAGACAGTATATTGGGCTAGATGGACCTATGGTCTGACCCACTATGGTCGTTCTTATGTTCTAAATATTTGGAGGCTGTTAACATTGTAATGTTTTAATGCCATGTCTTATTTTGTTTGCTTGCATAGTTATAACCTGTAGGCAGCAGCTGCACCTCAGAATAAGTAATTCGGTCAGAGACAACAGATTTTTCTAGTAATTGCTTAGGACAGCTGTAAGGGGAAGGATGCAAATATCCTACATACAATGGCTTATTTAAACAGTGTCTGTTGCTGGTAAAACAATAACTGTTCCTACTTGGTGAGGGCAGCCCATTAGAGGATGTGGGCTCCTCATGACTAGTACCTGGGGTATCTCTCTGCCCAGCCTCGGCTAGAGACAAATAGGAATTTATATGTTACCAGGCGTGGTTCTGCACTGGCTCTCAGTCCAATCTCTTCAGCTTCCCCCCAGATTCTACACAGGATCTGACCCACTCCTGATAAAACCATCAGTCTGTTCACACAAGATTGTGAGTGCTGCATACCTTTCCTCAGCAATTTCCCCTGTATTCAGTTTTTTGGATAGCCATGGGTCAGTTTCTTCCTGGGTCAAGGTCTTTGCATACAGTTCTGCCTCCTCCCACACTGTCTGGGGCGTGGGGATGTGCCTGTATGTTGATCCTGAAGGGTCATAGTTCTGCAGGGAAGGCGTTGGCAAGAACGGTAGTTTCCTGTTTACCTGATTCATCGCATCTGTAAAATTATGATAACTCTGACATGTAAACTTCTGAGGGACACTGTAAGCAAGGATGAGTAAATATTTGTGAAGTGATTTAGAAATGGCAATTCCAGTGCTGAGCAGTATTATCTTGCATGAAAACTGGTTCTGAGAAGCTGGCAGCCTTCTTTAGAGTGCAACAAATTTCAGAAAAGCATCCTGAAATCTTCCATCCCCAGACTTTTGGATGCTTGCCTCTCTGCTAATTAATATCAGTGGGCTGGTGCACTGCTGCAACATGATAGTGCTTTTTCTAGAGAGAAAAAGCGGAAAAAGCCTTCTAGCATATTGTTCTAGCATATATAGGAAGCCTGCAGGGTAGATGTTGTAATCTATACAGAGGAAATCTGCTGTAAATTACAAAAAAGGATTTCAGGACTGGATCCTGATGTCATTGTAGAAGCTAGAACAAAATCAGAAAACCTTTCAATCTATTTATCAACATTTCTGCAGATGTTTTCATTTTAAAGAGAGGGAATGAATAAATATTGAATAAAGAAGGTTAATCTCTATCCAGTGTCTTTAAAATAAGAGTTTTTAAAAATCAATGTAGACTCATTGACTCTTGCCAATTCTTCCTTACTTAGAGACATTTGTACTATAGACAGCAACTGGCATTATGAGTTAGTTGGAAACAGAACAAAAAGGCTAGGTCATCTATTGTATTTGACAGCAGTTATATTAAAGGAGACTCAATTCTTGTTGGCATTGAGATATACCTAGGCACCCAGCAACCTTCTGTTTTTTGATAAAAGATGCAAGATGCAAAAGGATAATTGGAGAGTACTGCTTATCCCTATGCAGAAATACTAAGAAATTCTTGGAATAGTATGATGTGAACTATCAGCCCATTTTTGCTATTTCCACAATTCAAAGAGTTTCTCACTGTGTTGTATTTTTTAAAAAATTATTCACTGAAAGAGCACAGTACAAAAGACCTTGGTGCCTCGGTTTGTCCATCTCTAGAATGGGTGAAAAAGAAATCCTGATTTGGCTTGTAACACACTGTGAGGTCTCTGGCAGTACAGAGTTTATCTGTAAAGGGCTAAATTAGCAGTCACCTTTAAAAGTGGCACCTTGTAGTTAGGCTTCTGTGTCCATATTCAGAGATGTAGCCGTGTTAGTCTGGTCTTGCTGAAACAAAAGACAGGATAAGCCATCTTGTTAGTCTTTAAAGTGCTGCATAGTCCTGCCTTTCATATTCAGACACATAAGCAAAGACTCAATCTTGTATCTTAACTTTATCTGCAGATGCTTCAGTTTTTCTAGTTGTAAAATCAACAGTAATAGCAATGTATGTCTCAGGAGTGTTATTAGTAAAGCTTAGCAAAATTTTTCAGATATATAATAGTTTGCTAAAAATTTTAAAACCCTCAAAATATATTTCTAATTTTGGATCAAACAAAATGTTTTGCTCATCTGAAAATATGTTTTTAAATGTTTTTGTTTTGAAGAAAAAACTAAAAGCTTTTTGTTTGGTGTTGACCCAAGCTACTTAAAAAATTTGTTTTGGCAAACTACTGAAAAACTGGTTATTCACATAGCTCTACTTTTCAGGCTTTAACTGTGGAGGTAGCAGTCTCAACTCCTCCTGTAAGCTTGAGTTCAGTTTTGCAATTTACCATGTTTTGTAACCAACTGATGCAAAATAAAATCACAATTTTTTCTCTCTCTCTGTCATTATTTGAAAGACAAACTGCTCTAAAAAGATGCTTAGTTCCAGCCTGGGAGTGTTTTTTCTTCTTTCACACTACTCTCCTAAATTCCTAAAGCCATAGATGAGAAAGCCATGAATCCAATTAAGAAAAATGCTGGGAAAGATAAAGTGTTGTTTGAATGTGAGATGATGAGAGAGCCAGGAAAGATGAGTTACATGCAGGGCTTAGCTAACCAACCTAGCTGTAATTGTTATCTGAGTCTGCTGGATTTTTCACTAATGATGCTGCAATACTGGTTTGGGTTCTGTTTTCTGCTCTCAGGGTTCACAGTGTGAGCAGGTCTGCACAAGTTCTTCCCTTATTGCCTTGGTATCATGAAAAATAAAACCTTGGTTAAAAAAAAACCAAGGAGACAAAGTAACGAGGCCAGAGCTGGAGAAAACACTTGGCTCAATAATTTAGCATGGGGCAAAGATACAAAGAATCAACAACAGTCCTAGCTTTCATTCCTATCCATTCCGGATGGTCTCTAGGCTCAGCTTTTAATGGCTGCTTCTTATTTGACCAACAGGGAGAACTGAGCACGAGGGTTTGACATAAAAGAGAGTCTCTCTCACTTGCTCTAACGTGCATGCTGAGGAACCTGAAGGTGTAGTAAAGGCAGGTTGGGGAGAGAGTGTACTTTCATTACACTATCTTACAGTCTCCTTGCTTGTTTTTTTTTTTTTTGCACGCTGCTCACCAGTGGCCCCTTGGCATAGGAGTTAACCTCACTTTAGAATCCTTAGGGTTTGACATAAAAGAGAGTCTCTCTCACTTGCTCTAACGTGCATGCTGAGGAACCTGAAGGTGTAGTAAAGGCAGGTTGGGGAGAGAGTGTACTTTCATTACACTATCTTACAGTCTCCTTGCTTGTTTTTTTTTTTTTTGCACGCTGCTCACCAGTGGCCCCTTGGCATAGGAGTTAACCTCACTTTAGAATCCTTTACACTCACAGGCCATATTCTGACATGATGCTTCAGGGAAGTGGTCATGTCAATGGTGAGAGATGCTTGTGATTGTAACTAAGAAAATCTGGGGTATAGTGCATCAGCTTGATTATGTGCTACACTTGGCCCCATTGAATTGAGAGGGGTTGCATGCATGTATTGAGGACAGGTATTAGCCTTTAAATCACAATTTAAACTCCTTGTTGACTTAGTCTAGATTCTTCTACCTTTGAATTTGATCCATATTATTTAAAGAGGCAATACTTTTGCAGCTGCCATCCTGACTTACACTGGGGATTGAATCAGGGACCTTCAGAGCTGACATACAGATCTCAAGTCCATACAACTTGAGAGCCAGACTAAAATCAAGAAAAAAGGTAAAATGGACACACATCTTCTGTGGACTGGGCTAGGAGAAAAAAATGCAGCACAGATTGGTTAGTGGATTTGCTATACTTTCCGCTGGACAGAAGAAGTTTGCCCCAAGTATGTGAGTCTGTAAACTGGGTATATTTTGGTGGGACACTACTGAAAATATCCAATTCATGATGAACTGCTGAGAATCAGGGCAGTCACAGTCATTGTTCCCTTTAATTTTTCCCATCTATATGTGGAATAAATTTTGTTGTGTGCACCAAGTCATGTGCAAATGTGCACCAACAGTGAAACACATGCTGCCAGCTGCTGCCAGCTGTGGGCACTCTGCTAATCTGCTGGGCGGCATTTGAGTCTCTCCTGCGTGGCCATCCAATCACTCAGCTTAAAAGGAACACTAGTCCCAGCCCAAGACTGGTGGTCCTCCACTTACAAGGCACACCTAACCAGTCAAAAAGAAAACTTCTGTTTCATCACACTGGCTAACAAGAAATCATAGAAGCAATTTCCTCAGATACTCCAGTTCCCTTATAGCACCACCAGGAACATTGTTTATAGAGATGAGTGGTTATGAAAACCAACCTCATCAAATAAAAGGTTCTTCTGATGCCAAAGGATCAGCCACATGTCCAAGTTAATAATGTAACTCAGACCTTACCCAAAACCATGCCATTGCCAATTCTTTAGTATCTAAAATCTAAAGGTCTATTCATAAAGGAAAGAAATAGAAGTGAAAGTTAAAATTGATAAAAAACCCAAATACATACAACAATTGCAAAGTCCTTGGTTTAGGCATATATCAGCATTGGAATAAACTGCTGGCTCAAGTTAAGTTTCTGGCTACTTCCAAATCATTCACAGGACCTCAGTCCCTTTGTTAGAATGCTCCCACTGGTATAAGTCCAGAGTCCAGATGCTCATCAGATACGAATCAGCATCTCCCCAGGACCATGATTACTCAATTACCCCTCGATGGGCCATTCAAATTAAATAGTCCCATCATAATACACTGGCCAAATGCTCCACTACTGCTACCCAGAATCAAACACATTGAAATACAAGTGCACGGACAAAGCACATAACTTCAAGTACATATGTGATGCATATACAGAGAACCTAACCATAAGCAGCAAATCATAACCTTTTCATAGACACCTCGCTTGGCACACTTTGTACAAGATTCACTGCAAATATATAATAGTGATCGCAACATGATCTACAGACCCATCGGCATTGGAGATGGGGGAATGTAACACACACTGACCTGTAAGTTATGCTAACAGCATCCTGAGAAGCAAACTGGGCCCTTTGGACTATGCTACGGGCTCTTCCTCAGCATTTCAGAACTCTTGCAGCTCAGCCTAGGAACCACTCCATCCCTACAGTATTTAGAAATTTGATGGTGGGGAGCGGAAAGTGCTTTCCTATTTAACATCCAGGGCAGCCAATCTACAGAGAGGCAGAGAACAGCAGGTGCCTCCAAGGAGAATGAGTATCCCACTGCCCAGAAATAGCTGTCATCCAAGGTTGCTGCTGGGCTTGGGGCTTGGAAATAGGGAAAAAGTGTAATTAAACAAACGAGGGGGCTTTCCCCCCTGCTCACTATGCTCACCAACCCCCCCTCTCTGGGAGTAGGAAGCCCCAGCTCTCCCCCGGCCACCAGGGAAGGCAGCCCTGGCCTGTCCCCTCCCCACTCCATCCACCCAGAGGCCAGCACCAGCTCTCTACCCCCAGCCACCAGGGTGGGAGGGGAGGACTGAGGCCACACCAACCCCAGCTCTGTCCCCCCTTGGCCATCGGGGGCCCAAGGCTGTGCCACTCCTGGCTCTCTCCCACCCTGGGCCTCCAGGGAGGGACGAGGCTGCTGCAGCTCCAGCATTACCTCCTCCTTCCAGCCACACCAGCCCCAGCTCTCTCACTCCGGCCACTGAGTGGGGGGCCAGGCTGAGTCCATGCCAGCCCCAGCTCTCTTCCACTGGCTGCCAGGAAGGAAGGGCGATAGGCCATGGCCTCACCAGCCCCAGCTCTCTCCCTCCAACCATGGGCATGGGGGAGGGAGGGAGAGGGAGAAGGAGGTAGGCCGCACCATGGCATCCTCACCTCCCGAGCACTTGTGGAAGGAGAAGGGGGAGGGAGGAAGGGGGCAGTTGGGATGCAGAATGACATGATAATGTCACTCTGTCATCCCACAGAGGGAAAAAATTATATATAGAGAGAAAGATGCACACACAAACATATAGGCTGTGTCTACATTGGCATCCCTTTCCAGAAATTCCTTGAAATTCCTTGAAAGTAAGAATAAGGGATCCTCTGGAAAAGGGCTTATTTTCCGGAGAATCGCATCTAGACTGGCGCTTTTCTCCGGCAAAAACCCCGAGCCGGAAAAAAGCGGCAGCCATGTAAATGCAAATGCTGCGGGGGATATATAAATCCCCCGCGGACTTGCAATTCCGAAGTGTCTCATTAGCATCCTTTTTCCAGAAAGGGATGCCAATGTAGACACAGCCATAGAATATATTATTTTAGATGAAGATAGATAGATAGATAGATAGATAGATAGATACCAATCAACGAATTAATTCTCAAATACACCTTTGTGGCAGTCAAATAGCATCCCCGTTTTGCAGAATGGGAAATTAAAGCAGAGAGATTAAATAGTTGGTCCAGTGTAGTGCACAGGAACCTTGTTGTCTTCAGGATTATATTTCAGAGGGTTTAGAATTTTATACTTGTGCTCAGTTCCCTAGCCCGTGTTTCCCAATTTCATTTGGCCACAGAACCCTTTTAAACTCGAAAGAATTTTGTGGAACCCTTAATAACGGTCTTATATATGGAGCTGCACAAGTAGACCACAAATAAGTAAAGATAATAATAAATAAATGCTAAACAAGGTCATGAGATCAACACAAATTAAAATTGTTTTCAATAAAATTGATATATGCTTAAATATTACTTTTTTTTAATTATAAAATGTTATTGTAATGGAATTTTCTTGAGGAACCCTTATTTTTACTTCACGGATCCCCGGGGTTCTGTAGAACACCATTTGGGAAAGACTGTTCTAGCCTATGTCTCGTTCATGTAATATGCAATCTGTTGCAATTAAAGAAGA